CTGGGCCCCGGCAGGGAGGTGCCGGGCCAGGGGGCCAACGCGGCGGCGGCGGGCGGCTTGGAGCCCGTCCATCCCGCCAGCCTGCCGGACTCGTCCCTCGCCGCCAGCGTCCCGTTGTGTTGTACCCTCTGCCACGAGCGCCTGGAAGACACCCACTTCGTGCAGTGCCCCTCCGTCCCCTCCCACAAGTTCTGCTTCCCCTGCTCCCGGCAGAGCATCAAGCAGCAGGGAGCCAGCGGGGAGGTGTATTGCCCCAGCGGGGAGAAGTGTCCCCTGGTCGGCTCCAACGTCCCCTGGGCCTTCATGCAAGGGGAGATCGCCACCATCCTGGCCGGAGATGTGAAAGTGAAAAAGGAGAGGGACTCGTGACTCGCCTGCGCTCGCCGCCCGATGTCACCTTGAACTCGAACTGCTCGAATTCTGTATATATCTATAAATATATATATATAAATATATATATATATCTCCAAGACAAGGGAAATGTAGACTTCATAAACATGGCTGTATAATTTTGATTTTTTTGAATACATTGTGTTTCTATATTTTTTGAAGACAAAAGGTATGTACTTATTATAAAGGCATTTCTTCTAATTCTTCTCTTTTTTTTTTTTTTTCTGTTTCGTTTTTTCTTTTTTTCCCTTTTGTTATAGCAACTATTTGTTGTGCTTCCCTGGTGACAGTTACTGTTCAATGTAGGCTGTGACTTGCGCTGCTTTTTTTAGAGAGCACTTGGCAAACCAGAAATGCTTCTAGCTGTATTTGTATGCACTTGTTTCTTCTGTTTTTTCTTTTCTTTTCTTTTTTTTTTTTTTTTTTTTTTTTAAATGCCAAATACACTTTCTGACATTGTAAAGATTGCCTTACTGTCTGTGATTCCTTATTCCTGGCCCCTGTCCTGTAGAGCTGGTTGCATGCAGGCTTGGTCTGAGGCAGTTGGGGATAAGAGTGGCTAGCCAAGGCAGGCATGCCCTTCGCCATCTCGCTGGCCAGGCGAGCTTAGGGAGCAGGAGGGCTTTCTCCCAGAAGCGTGTGGCTCGGGTTGCGATGGAAGATCCTCCAGATCCAGTCCCAAATTGCTCAGTTTCTCAAGGGAAGTTGCCACCAGAGTAGGATGTGGAGAGGTGTCCAAGAGGCGCTGTTGAGTTAGGGATTTCTGGGTTTGTTTGTTTTTGGTTTGGTGTTTTGTTTTGTTTTTTAAGGCAAAGTTGACCGCAGTTCTCGTGATCAGTTGTAAGATTACAAAACTGCATTTATTCACCAATTGCATACCATAACGTGGAATTCTGATAACGAACTTGGTTACGTGATTGGCGAAGGTGCCAATGTAGCACTGCCATTTCTGAAGGTCTTCAGTGTCACTTGTGGGGCTTTTGTGTCTTTGGACAAAGCTGGGGATGTGGGGAAGAGACTTTATTTTATTTTACTTTAATTTTCAGATAGTGCATATGGATCTTGATTTTGCTTACCAGTCACCTCTAGTGCTGTTGCTATTGTTACTATCGCTGACCCGGTATTTCCAAGTAGTGGCAGGTACGGTGTGGTACAGTGACAGCAGTGACTGAGGCTCTGCCAAATTGCCCGCGGGCATATCAGTGACAGCCCAAATGTGGGTGGAGGAAACCTGTAATTTCCTTATTACGTTTGCTTGAAACAAACCTACTGCTATTCTTTGAAAATGAAAATATAAACTGGTTGAAATGAAAGCAATGAGGGCTGCACATAATGGCCCTGGCCCTGCCTTTTAAGCTACTTTGGAGAACTCTTTTGTAAAGCCACTTCTTTTGATCACGCTTCTGCATCACCAAGCAGACTTCTAAAATCAATAAACCATTGGTTACTAGAAATAGTTCAAGTCTTATAGTGATGTTTTTGTGCTGTTTATAGTTCATTGGCAACGCTGCAGCTGTCCAAGCCCTTCTGTCGAGGTGTTTATAACTCGGTTATATGCGGTTGTTTCTGAGCAAAAGGGTGGCGAGGTCGTCCCTTCCCAGGGACCAGCTAATAAACACTTCCAGTGTCAGAAGAGGAGGAGGAAAAATCTGTTCAGCCAACTATAAAATTGAAGATTTTTGGGTGCTTTTTAGTCAACTGTTCTTACTGTGATAATGTTCAAACTGCAATTTAATGCAGAGTAGTTTTTTTTTTGTTTTTTTTGAAGACTACTTTTTTTTTTTTAAAAAAAGAAATGGTCATTATTAGTATTTGAAGATCAGAACTGCACATGCACAGTAATTTTCTATGAAGTGTTTAATGAGCACACCCACTACATTGTGTTCCATATTACAGGTCAATGTAATATTAGATAAGACTTGCATGATAAACAAATTCATTGAGTCAATATTACGCTTTAAAACTTATAGTCAAGATTGGTGTCTTATGTAAACACATTTAGCCAATTTGAAGAAAACGCACATTATATATATATACCTATATATATACCTATATATAAAAAAATGCCAACTGTAAAGGATTCTTTGGAACCACTATGATCTGTGTAAATGTGTATTTAGGCACTTTATTAAAAAAAAAAAAAAATGGAATTTGAGCTGATAGATGGTAACAAGTTCTTCAAAGTTGCTTGGCATAATACCTTACATGGGATGAAGTTCATGTTTTTGATTGAGGTGGTATCCCCATGCTAAAAAAAAGAATCACAACTGAATTCCAAAGCCTGCCTAAAAAGAGTCCCCCCCTTTTGTGTCATCAGGTGTCCCAGCTGTGAGCGTGCCGAGGGTGAGACCTGCTCCTGACAAAGTACTCCCTTGTTTTGGGGCCGAGGGACATTGGTGTAGGGAAGCACGCCTTCCTCCTCCTCCTGCCAGCCGTTCCCTCCTGCAGCTCTGTGACTCTTGGAGAGGATGGAAACTCCCCGGCCGGTGATGCCAGGCAGTGGCCCAGAAACAACATAGATGGAAAAGAAATGGCACACGGTGGCTATGCTCACTCAGCTGACTGTGAGCCCCCAGTCAAGTCTAATCTCCACCATAAAACTTCAGAACTGCAAAAGAAAAACAAAAACCCCACAAAAAAAAAACCCCCAACAACAACAACAATATGACAAAAAAAAGAAAAAAAGAAAAAAAGAATTAAAAAAAAAAATTGAGGCTGTTCATACATAGCTCATTTTTCTCACATTGAATGTTCCTTTTTCCTTTTGGTTGCTTTGCTCAATTACAATAATGCTCCAGTGGATTCTCCCTTTATCTACCTGGGCTACAAGCTTTTTTCTTTTTTTTTTTTCCTATTATTTTGAAGTGCTTTAGCTGCAACAGTGCTACTGTTAATATTCCTTTTTAAACTTTTTAGAAGGTGATACTGTAACTTGTGTAGTATTAAAAGTGTTTTAATGAAGAATGTGTGATTATTATTTTTTTTTTCCAACCCACTTCCATTATTTTTTTTTTTTTTCAAAGATGTTTTTTCCTGGCAGTCCAACTGCCCTGTGCTTTTGTTGATAGCTGCTGAACTAACCTTCTGCCAGTTTGGCATTTTATGTTTTGTTTTTTGGTTTTTTTTTCTTCTGACACAAAGCATAACAAAATTAGGAACTTTAAATACTTACTGCATTTTTTTGTATATAAAAGAAAAGAAAAGAAGAAAGTAAGCTTGAAAAAGATGTAGTTGTACAATATTATTTTTAATTTTTTTTAAATCCTGGCATTTATTTGTAAACAGACAGCAGTGTAGGACAAGAAGGGGATGCATGGAGCTGGTGGGTGCTGCCCTGTGCCTGGGTCCCAGGGGGTGGGAAAGGTGCCACACAAGGGAGGCATTGGCCGCCTTTGCAGTGGCCTCAGAAAACCTGGTATGTTTGGGAGCTCTCTTTTTAGACGTGCTGTAAACCAGGCCATGGCAACCGCGTGTTTTTATGAACTAGCACTTAGGCAAAGGGTATAAATACATTTGAGAGTGCTCTCTAGTGGCTTGTTATGTCAACAGAGCCCCTGGATCCTTTCCTTCTGCACCCGGGCCAAGCGCTGCTTGCCTGCCTGTCCAGCTGGCAGGGCGGTGGCTCTCGGTGGCACAGGATGACATGCTGCTCTGGGGACACCCAGCCACCCGCCCGCCTGCAGTGGGGCACCTGCCCTGCTGCTTGCACCCACTCCATGAGTCCAACCTGCCCCCATGTGCAGCTACAGCACCAACACCAACACAGCATCTCCTCAGGAGAGAGGAGAAAACACTGGACCGTGTGGGAATTGATGGCACCAGGGGTGGCTGAGCTGTTTGGAGCCTTGACTCCTCTGCTTCACTCCAACAGGGCTATGTCCAGTCATTAGACTTGAAAAGGCATTTCATGTTCGTCCTCCTTGAGTATTTGCATTCAGGTAGCTGCAACTGCATCTTTTGGAAAATAATTGAAAAATCCCAAACTCAACCAGCACCTTTCCTCAAGTGGAGTCTGGTCTCTACAGACAGTGTAGGCCCAGCCCAGTATAAGCTACCTCCAGTATATGCTAGAGAAGGAAGGAAAGGAAGGGAGGAAGGGAGGAAAGAAAAGAAAGAAGAGAAAGAAAAAGAAGAGAAAGAAAGTTAAAAGCAAGGCTGATTTTTTTTCCCCCCTGTTAAAACAGGAGGTGGACTTGGGCAGTGTATGGATGCACTTCCTGCAGTAGGTGCATTGCAGCCGGTGGCCCTTGCCATCTGCCAGGCATGGCCATGGAACACCAGCTGCCCTGCCCTTACCCCTAGTAGGCCACCAGGATTCTGGAGCCATCCTCCTTCCCCTGCCCTTTGTTCCCAGGAGCAGACGCCTTTCTTCTGCCAGGCCCAAGGTCAGGCAGTGCTAGAAGCAGATGAATGAAATGTGTGCTTATGCACTTCATCACCCAGAGCTGCTGCTCTGCTCCAGAGGTAACTCTTTCACTGCCTCTGGACAGCCTCTGGAGCATGCCATGCGCTTTGTGCACTAAGTGTGGGGTTCAAATTCTGATCATGGAACTCCCTGAGAGGCTGAAGTCTCCCTCCTGGGAAAGAAGGCATGCTGACATCTCCCATAGAGAGCTCCCAAGAGCATGTTAGTGCCCATATGGCTGTCTTGCTGGCTGGCATAGGTGCACTGAAGATGGGGTGACAGCTCTGCAGGTATTTTTAGACACCACCTAACTTTGCTTTTCTTTCTGCCACTCCAGAGCCAGTTTTGTGGAGACTGCAATAGATGAGTACATGCTAAACCCCAAAATGTTACATCGAGTTGAAGCCCCATACGAAACAAACTTACAGAGAAACTAGAAGTGCTTGTAGAAGCTTCTCATAGGTGTTTCTTCATCTCATCACCTCTGACTCGGCAAACACCTCAAGAAACATCCCATTAGCTCTCATCTCCAGCAGCACAGGGCCAGGTGTGAGAACCTGCCCTGCTGGCACAGCACCTGGCCATACCCCTATCTCAGGGTCCCTTTGTCTGCCCCCAGCCTGCTGCCTCCTGCCCTGGTGGTCCTCAGCTGTGGGAGTCCTCACATGGTGGTCCTCAGCCCCCATCCCATCCTGGGGTGCCCTGTCCAGGGCTGGGGCTGCCCTTCTGGCTGGGGGGGTTGTGGCTTCCCTGAGAAATAAATCTTGGGGAGCCTCCAATTTGGAGGCACCTATGAGGTGTACAAGGCCAGGTTAGATGGGGCTCTGAGCAACCTGATCTAATGGAAAATGTCCCTGCCCACAGCAGGGGTGTTGAAACTAGGTGGCCCTCAAGGTCCCCTTTCAACCCAAACCATTCTCTATGATTTTCAGCTGCTGCCTCTGAGAAGGAGGGCATTCACTCTTCACTGCAAAAATGCCAAGTCTGCATTGTCTTTTACCCTTTTTCACTATAAAACACTTATTTCCCCCACCCACTGCCAGCCCAGAGAAGCCTCATGCTGTTTTGTTCTTTTCTTTTTAGCAACCCTTTAAAAACAACCGGGAGATAAGTACCCAGAGGTGGAAAGGGTTGTTGGGTCACCAGGCTGCAGCTGCAGCAAGTCCACCTGTTCCCACACAGCTGGGCAGGAGTGGGGCTGGAGGGAAGGATGCACATGGGGGGCTTTGGGGGACCCCCAGCTGCAATGGGAGCCTCACCCTGCCACCCGCTCAGCCAAGGGCACGAGAAAGCAACTGGACCTTCCCCTTCTTCCTCACATGGTTTTGGGCCTTTCTCCTTCTTTTTGCATATTTGTGAGCTGAAGGAGGTCTGATTTTTTTATTTTTTTTTATTTATTTTTTTTTAATCTCTTTTTTTGGCAGGGGTGATTTGAGTAGACACCCTTAATTTTTTTTCAGCCAGAAATCCATGTTTTCTCCAATAATTTTCTAACCCTTTTTTATAGGTATGTCATATTCTCCAGCTGTATGTAGAAAGGGACTTACAGATATTAGATAAAAATTGCAAAACAGAATGGGACATTAAATTTTGTCCAGACTACTAACAAGTTTTGTTTTTATTTTCCATCTACCTTATTCAGGTGTTGCTAAACACTAAGAACAAATAATTTTCTCTTTTTAGATGTATCACCCACTCAGCTGATAGAAAACTCTAAAACCAGGGAACTGATGAAAGACTTCAATGCAAGCACAGGAAGGTGATGCTGAACATCATGTTTCTTTCACTTCACAAAAATTGGGAAATAAATCAGCTTCTGCACTTTGACTCATGCCTTTACAGATCCTACTTCAGGAATTGCAGTGAAGTCAAACCAGCACAAGGACCACTTTTTCCATCACACTTTCATAACCATTCATGCTGTCATAATTTAAAAAAATCCAAATACTAACTTCCCAGTGATATTGTGGTGGTGATTAAATAGGATTCTATCCATCTTCCCCTTGAGAATACAATTAGGACAACCTACCCTACAGAAATGTCAGAGGGAAGATGTTATTTTTGTTGCAGAAAGTACCGTGATGTCTTTATTAACTCTGGGCAACACAGCACATCATGCACTAATGGCACTGGGTATGGGCTTCCCTCCACCTGGAAAGAAGGGGGCTGGATGGGCCCAGCTGGGGATTTGACTTGCTCTGATTAGTTCAAAAATTCTGCTTAGACATCCGTTCTGCTTTTCTTGGAGGATACAAGCCATGATAAACATTTTTAGATGTGCTTTTTAATTAGTATTTTGATGTTTACTTTCACACTGAGAGCTCTTCCATTTGTGCAAGCCCTCTGCTTTGCTTTGGAGAGACAAATAACTTGTACCCTCAACTGAACTAGCTCCTTTATGCTCCCAATTAATATTTTTACAATCCAAATGGTTATTTTATCTTACCAGTTCTGCTTCTTTGGGTTACTGTGGCTCTTTGTTAAGACCTCTTTGTCCAACTGTGTTAAAATTAACTTGTGGAGGTGGATGACTGATTTCAGCTACTTTCCTGCACAATTGGGGTATTTCCTGAATTCTGCTTATTAATGGGAAGGTTCTCCAGCTAGTAAGACTTTCTGGGAATGGTGGTGTACTCTGGGTGGTTAGTCATTTTGCCTCTGGCCACCCCTCTGGGAGGGCTCGCAGCAAGGGCTCTGGGGGTATTGTGTGGTCCTGGTGGAAGGTGTGAACCAGCCATGCTGCTTCCCGGTTATCTTCCAAGCAGGAACATTCTGAACTGCAGTGGCAGCATGTGTTTCTTCATCCTGTGTCACAAAAGTTTCCTGACATTTAGTGTTTTGGGGTGGATCCCTTCCTTTTCTGTGAAGAGTGCCAATTTCAGTGCTGCTTTTGATGGATAACAGTCCATGAAGCACTGGAGCAACACCAAATGTGGTTTGTGTAGGAAAACTTCTGGGTTCCCTTTTTAGCTGCTCCTTAGCTGCAGAGGAACATGAGTACCAGCCCTGCCAGCCTCCCCTTTTCCCTTCCCCTGCTGCCAGGGGCACCTTCCTGCTGGGAGAGCCTTGAGAGGTGCCTGGAGGGGAAGGGCTGTCATAGAGGGTTGGGTCTCAGCTGTATTGACCCTGCTCACGGTGTGCAACCTCAGGGTTTCTTTAAGCTCCCTCCAAGCAGCTCCAAAGAGGGACTGTGGCACAGCCCATTTCATCCTGACTGATGGTGCATTCACCCTTGTTCCTGTGGACCACTTTGTGATGGAAGGGATTCCTATCAGGCCTTGGGCTCTGTATAAAGAGCTGTCCAATGAACCATCCCTTGACTGTACCAGGAATTCTTGTGTGGTCAAGCTGGTGAAAAGAGCAGGAATAACCGGCCATTCCCTGACAGCCTTGGAACTTTCTTCCCTGAATTGTAGCCAGTGTGGAACGCTATCATTATTACTGGACTTCAGAAAATTCCAGTAGTTACTGACCCAGATTGTGTCCAGGATGGAAATTTGTTGATGACTAAAGCTGGTCATCTCACAGCCCTATGAACAGTGCTCCAACGTAAGGCCCT